GGGTGCGCGGGGCGGGGACCGGGCCGGCGGAGGTGGCTCCGGGTCGTGGTCTTGCCCAGGAGCTGTGGGCTCAGAGCGAGGTGGGGCTTCATAGCGGGGCGCCCTGGGGACCGGACACTTGGGGCTTTCGGGCAGAGTCTTTCGGGCTCCCTGCGGGTCGAGCCGCGCTCTTGACTCCGGGGTACTCCGCAGGCTTGGGGTATTCGAATAGGGAGTGTCTGCAGAAGGCGGAGGGCAGCCGGTCGCCTCGGCGGGGCGCACAGGACTGAGGGGACGCGTGTCCTGAAGGTGGACGTGGAGTGCCAGGCTGCGGGGAGTCGCGGGGTACCCGGGTGCGAGCGCGTGACGGGGGCGCACGGCCCCAGCCTGGTCCTGGCCGCCTCCCTCGCCCCGGAGTCGCCGCCCCGGGTCGGAAACAGCAGCACATTTGCGGATCGCATTAGGCCAGGCCCTTAATGCCTTCTCCAGATGGAGCGAAGCCACCGACCCGCCCCCGGACACCGGCTCCGCCAAGGCGCCCGCTAGGCGAGGCGAGAGTCGAGGGTGACCTCGGCTTTTCCAGTCTCGGCTCATTCTGATTTCCCTGCGAGTCTCCGCTAAGTTCTGCTGGTCCGCCCTCGCCTACTTTTAGGAGACTGTGCTGGGCCAGCCTGGGGCTTTGCCTTCCAAACCTCCCTCCCTTACTTCAGCTTTCGGAGCTACAGATCTGGACCCAGAGAGCGCCTGGTGTCGCCTGGTGAGAGAAGGCCTGCCTTCCAGTCCTAGAATGTCATTCTTACTGTGTGACCTTAGGCAGGTCCCTTCCTTCTCTGGACTAGTTTGGTTGGCTTCAGACTTCCTTTTGCCTCGAGCAGCAGTAGCTGGCAGGTGCCCCAGCCCTTGGCTCTGTGATGGCTTTCTGTGTCACTTGCCAGTAGCCACACCCTGGTGCTGACAAATGGGCAGAGAAGCCTCCAGGGCAGCCATGTCCTGGCTTCTGGGGTGTTGTGACAGAGCGGTGCCCACGGAGACAGGCTGAGCCCCTCCCAGCCTCGATGGGGACCCATCCTAAGGGAGTGTAGATTACCTGACCCAGGTAGGCAGCCGATCCAGCACCAGCAAGATCTTCCCAAGACAATAGTTATCTGGGCTTCAGGCCCCTCCCTTCGATGTGCTTCTTAAATCGTGGGTGCTGGCATTGGGGCCAGAGCTGGTTGGAAACCCCCTCTTTCCTCTTTTGTAGGCTGTGAGTGGGACCTCTTAGGAGGTTGGGCTCCATGGCTTCCTGGAGGAGCCCCAGATGGCTGCTGCTGTGGCTGATCTTCACACATTCTGCTCTTCTGCAGGTAACAGAAGGGAGGGAGCGGTGGGCATCCGGCTGTTTACTCAGGAACATTATTCTGGACCACATAGATATAGCACAGTTACACACTGTTGATCCTATACCAGAGACCGGGACTTTCTCTTTTGCCTCCAGCCTATGGTATTTCTGCGGGTGTTAGCTGTAAGGATCATCCCAATACCTTGGGTTGTCTCTAGATCCCGAGCAAGGCCTTGATGCCGCTGTGAATGGCATGCAGCCGTGATTCTGTCTCATGGACTAGAACGTCTGTTTCTGAGTGCCCATTGGTGGCCCTACTGCTGGAGGCCAAGGTGAGAGGAATGGGTAGAGCCAGGTTCTTCTGCTAGCTCAGCCACTGTATAAGTGTCCTTTTGCTGCAGTTGACACAAATCCCGCTGCTTTTACAGTCATCTCTTTAGACTCCTGTCTTGTCGATTCAGCTTAGGAGGACTGAGTAAGCTCCTGCATGGCATTGTTATTTGCCTACTGGGCAGACTCAGACCAAGGAGCGAGGCTCGTGTTGCCTGAGAGACAGCAGAGAGTGGCAGAGACAAAGGCAAAATAAGAACACATGCTCAGCCTACCCAAAGCAGCCTCTAGGCCAGGGCTTGGGATGTAGCTCAGGAGTGGAGCACTTGCCTCTCTTACGTGTGGCTCTGGGTTCCATCTCTAGCACCACAAAGTGCAGCCTCTACTCACTTTTCAGCTCATCTTTGGTGTAAGAGGGAATGCAAGCCCAGGATTGATGGATTTTACTGTTCAAGACGGCTGGATCATCCAGATTTCTTACAAAGTCTCCTAGTTTACAAAGTAATGAAAGCCAGACAAATGTTTGCAGCCTGGATTCAGCCAAGTGTGTGGCCCCAGATCGAAAGTGCAGAGCGCATTTGCGTTGATCTTGTGTCCTGAGGGCTGCTGCCGCCTCATGCAGGGTCTTGTGTGAATTAGAACAAGACAGCCCCTTCCCGAAGATGTAACTTCTCAGGCACATGCCTTGCTGGTTTCTGCTCCCCGAGGACCTAGTGGAGCGCCTGGCACCGAAGGGCTGGGAAATAAGCCCGCGTGCATGAGGATAAGTTAATCAGACGTCTCTGCGTCATGTTTCACTCTCCTGGACTTTGTGCTTCTGAGGCTTCTTTCAGCTCCAATGCCACATGAATTCTGTGACTCACAGAACTGCTTAGCAAGGAACATCTTCTTCCCCAATGTTCCATTTTATCGGTGCTTCCCCAGAGCCATATTTTAGTAGCTATCTTTTGTTACAATAAAAGCCAAGTATTTTTAGGGTGACCTTAGTATTTCCCTGGCAAAGTGAAGTGTTGGGGCAAAAGCACATGGTCTTATTTTTCTGTCCCATCAGAGGCGCTGAGGCTGACTGCAGGAGCATCAGAGGTTTGTTCCTGGGGCTGAGCCTTCAAAGCACAGCATGTCATTTTGCCTTCTTTCACCCTATAAAATTTAAATGTGCTTTGAGGCAGTCTGTTGACCTTTGGCCAAGGGCAGCGTTTGCCCAGCTTGAATCCCTCACGGACCTCTTCAGATTTTTCCATCTCTGTGTGCCGGTGGTGGTGCTGTTTCATATCATAAAAGGAGACTCCAGTGCAGTGGTCTCCATCATCCTTACTGTTCACAGTTGAATCCCAGACCCCCCTCCTCGGTACTGTGTCACTCAAACATCACTGCTGCCCTTCTCCGTTCCCTCCATATCTGTAGGGAGCAGGCAATATTAGTATCTAATATCCTTACAGTTGTTTTGAGGAGTTAAAACATTGTGAAGGGGAAAAAAGTAAAAAAAAACCAATACAGTGCCTGGCACATAGTAAGTTTACAGTAGATGTCGTCTGTGGCTGCTGCTGGCCAGCATTAAGGTTTGAGTGAGCAGGGTGCCTGTATTTTCTGTGGCGGGGCTGTAGGGGGCGCCCCAAAAGCATCCGGTGAAAAGAGATGCTGCAGAGACTGAGACGTGGGGCCTGAGCATCTCAGGAAGTTCCTGCAGGTGTGCACAGGTGTAGCCAGGGCTGTCTCCCTGGGTTTTTCCCTAAGTTCAGCTGGCGTTTAGCATGGAGCCACCCTGCTGAAGTATCTTGTGAGTTTGGCTTCGGGTGTGGGTGTCTCTCTCGCCTCAGGAGTGCCACCACCAGGTGGTTGGTAGAAGACTAATAGATGGTGAGTGTCAGCTGCCAGGAGTATGGATGTTCCAGCTAATTACAAAAAGTAAGATTTCCCTAATTAAATCAGTGTTATGGATGTCCCCCCAAAGCCTCATGCAGTCATGGGGCGGGCTTCTAGATTTATGATTGATCCGTGATCCAATGTTGGGATTATGGGTGTGAGTGCTACACTTGCCCTGGGGCCGATAGTTTGCATACAATGTAAGGGAGGGAAAGAGGCTGCTTGCCGCTGGCTGCTCCTCCCTTTTCGCTCTTGCTGCTTTTGCTATCTTCTGCCACCATGAATGGTTGTCCTCTGTCATGTGCCACTCTGCCTTGGGGTAGACCAAGTATGGACTAAAACCTCCACAAACTGTGAGCTAAATAAACCTTTCCTTCCTTAATTTTGGGCAATAGGTATTTTGTCTCAGCAATGAGAGAAAAGTAACTAAGACAATCAGTGAACGCTTACACTCATATTCACTGGCAGTAACTGTTAGATTATAGAACAAGGCATGAGGCTGCAGGCCCTGTTTTTTTCTACTCCTTGAGCATTCCTGGATGAGTCCATGTCTTCCTCTCCCAGACAGCAGGGAAGACCTCCCTTTTTCCTGTTTCACAGGCCCTGCAAGCTTTTTGTTGCTCTGGGCCTCTCCTTAGGGACATGATCTTCCCAGGGAAGACAGCAGCTGCTGCTCCCACTCTCTCTTCCAGCCTGATGTATTGAGAGCTTTTCAGATTTTCTCCAAACACCTATAGGACGAATCTTGTGTATACTCTGTCCTGAATTACAGCTTGTTTCTTTTTGATCTTGCCTGGCAGTCTGTCTACTAAGTGAATAATTATAAGATAGATTCTCAGCTCTCTGGCAAGTTCTTCTAGAAATGGTTTTAACTTTGGTCATGTAAACTTATCTCTTCAAATAATCCTATCAATGTGGCTTCATGTGTACCTGAGTGGCCCCTGGCATGTTTTTCCCCTGAAAAACATGGGTTCTCTGGCAGGTCCTGTCACCCCACCTCCCTTGCCTCAGGTGGGACATCTGCTTCTGAAAAGTGATACAATCTTTGCCCGTCTTCCCCTGCCAGGTTCATAGACATCTACTGGTATAAGTGTCTCGAGGGGACAGTTTTGAAAGGCTAGTGAAAGGCAGGAAGGAATTTGAAGATGTCAGGACATAACCTGTATAAGCAGCATCTGAGTTGGATCAGATCCTGTCTCCTGGGTCTTGTGAATGCCAGTGTGTAAGACAAAATGGTGTCTCATTTTGTTTCTGATTGAGGCTGGAGGCTGGACTGGGAGGCTGGCCCTACAGAGGGCTTGAAGGTAGGATGGCCCTAGCGTGGTTGTGGGTAGATGCCCACATGGTTCTTGCCAGCTTGATCATTAGAATATAAGTAGAGTTGTGGTACAGAGAGGGTGGAAGCCTTTGGGACGTATGGTAAGCTGGTCCCTGGATCCCATAAATATTCCCTTATACTGCAAAAAAGATGTTGCAGATGTGATTGAGGATCTCTAGGTTGGGGATATTATCCAGGGTTATATAATCACAACAGTTCTTATAAGGGGGACACAGGACAAGACAGAGCAGAGGAAGTAGAAGATGCTAGCACAGAAACCAGAAACTGGAGTAAGATGGCCAGGAGCCAAGGAATGCTGGCAACCTGTAGAAGCTGAAAGAGGCAAGGACCATTCCTTACCTGGAGTTCCCTGGTGTCTTCAGAAGTAACTGGCTGTGGTGACAACTTGATCTTAGTCCTGTAAAAACTCTTCAGATTTCTGACTTGTAGAACTATAAGAGTGTAGGTTGGTTTTAAGACATGAAATTTGTGGTAATTTATAGGAGCAAGTGGAAAACAAGTGGGTCAGAGGTGTACTTTAAACCTTGACCTCTCCCTCACGGCCAGCAGGCATCCTTCTCCATTGCTCATAACCCAGGTGCAATCCCAAGTACAAGGCCACAGAGCAGGCGTGAGAAGTGATGTGCTCTTTTCACAACATGCTTCTGCCCAGTCCACAGCAGTCTCACCGTCCATTTCCCCAGTGACTCCTGGTGTTGCAGTCATCCTTGTCAGTCACGGGCAGTGAGGATGCATTCCTGGGGACACAGCCCTGAATCAGGAGCCAGAGATCTTGGTCCATGGGTGAATCAGCTCACAGTAGTCTTGACTCTGACATGGACCATAATTCCCTTTAGGTCGCCCTGGATTTGGCTGATCTTGGTAAGTTGTAGCTTGAATGTCTATGAGGATGGACCCATCTCAGGTGAACGGTGAGGTTTGGACTTTGGAAAGACAGATTTATTGAGAAGTCTCAGCTCTGTGGGAGTATAGATACAAAGCCAGTCATTAGGCTTGTCAAACTCCCTTTTCCCACCTAGGGGGTGTCCTACTCCGGCCATTGCCACAGGTCCTTTAGCTTCCCCTGGCCACTGTGCCCTCTTGGTGGCAGATGCAAGTTCTTCAGAGGGCTCTGCTGGATCTTCCCTGCAGCAGGTGGTCCAGCTCTGGCTTGCCACTTGCTGCTGGGGTCTTCTCACCCAGCATGCAGCCTAATTGAGTGGGGATCTTGCAGGAGAGTTTAAAGCCAGCACCTTTTGCCACTGTCCACTTGATCTGTAGGAAATGCGTGCAGCTGACATGGTGGGAAGCCAGGATGCTACAGTGATCCTACAGCCAGGATGCTCCTCTCTGTCTTGCTAACCCCTTCCGTTTTCCTTTCCTTGCTCTGGAAAGCTCAGGGACAGATGAGCAGATCCACAGAGTAAGCAGCTGCCCATCTGGAAAATGGGGAATCTCTTCTTTTTCTCCATTTTCATTTCTTTTTTTTTTTTTTTTTTTTTTTTTTTTTTTTT